TGAAGGAATTGTCACTAATTATAATGAATTGATATTAAAGATAAATAACAAGAGAAGTTAATTATACCACCTGGTATCCATACAACGTGTTTTGCTTATTTATAGAAATACACAAAGAGGTAATTTGTAGTAAATAGGGGGAGTGGCGAACTCATTGACGGGGTGGCGAACTCACTGACGTACTGACGTATGAGGTAGCCCTGACTCTAAATTCTAGTCTGTGCCTTAAAACAAAGCTAGTTCCATCAAGATTGATTTTCTACAATGTCCCTTTTCCCCACGCGGTACCAAAATAAAGTCGAGAGGTAGGCTTAACTTACGTATAGAATGGGACCGAAATGTATTAATTTCTAATTACGACTAAATAAAGTAATATTTTTTACTTACAAGATATTAAACTAGAAATCAAGTGTATTAATTTCTTATTATGAGATAATTAAGAAAAAATAAAGTAATATTTTACAGATATTTTGAAATTAACGTCTTATTTTTGTCTTATTAATATTAACATAAATGATAATAGAAAAAAATATTTTTTCATATATATCATGGCCCCAGAACGCTTCCGTATTCTTTTTTCTGTTCTTTAAATTTTGTAAAATTATGTTGTAGTTAATTATTTTACCTGTATGGTCTATTTGCACTTTCAGTTTTAACTTAACTAGGCCTACAAAATAACACCCACATTAGGCTTGACCAAAACATCCTGTCTCTCGATCAAAGCCGTCAGACTTGTCGATTTACATTTGGCCTAATTTCTACAGATTCAGGTCAATTCATAATACCCATAAAATTCATAAAACCCTTACCATTACTCTCAGGCTGATATTTCATCAATGAGGCTAATAAAGATTTCACTACATTGTTCTACACTTAGTTGGATTCCTCCGATGTCAATAGTTTCAGTTGATGCTCCTTATAACAAACCAGTCATGTCTAAAAATAGCAACCTCCGTCATATTTGATTGAGATACAGTATCGAGGACACTACAGACCGTGATAAATTCTTAATCGTAGATAGTATAAAATAGTAGTGAATGAAATGACAATCACGGATCCCGTGGTCAAGTATAGATATTGTATCCAATCCAATGCATCATTAAACAATATAAGTTCAAATATTCCAGAGGCTCTGAGAAAGCACTCTTACCATATTACCCTGAGTCTCAATGGATCCCAATGAATTAGAAGGCGAAACTAAAAACTAGTATTAAAGGGACAGTTGCGCCATTTTTTTTTACCAATCGTACCTCACAAACGGGAATTTTTTTAGCTAAGCCAATCAGTATTAGTGTTCACAGCTCACCCTCGAAATTTGAAGATTCAAATCCACGTGTGTCCAGAATTATCCACATTTGAAAATTAAAAAGATGAATCTTTTCTTTGACACTGCCATATTTAGGAAACACATATGTAGTAATAGGAAAAGAAAGTTCAAGTTCAATAATCAACAAGACTAATAAATTCTAAATCATGATTTACTACCTATGTATTCAATAAGTATCAATTCTGAACATGATTAATAAACATGATTAATGAATAATATCAATATTTTTAATGAGTATCTAAAGAAATGCCAATCCAATTCTAGGTCTTCAAAACTGAAACTTTTTCCAGAAATTCAAAACCTTGCTCAAGTTTCATGAAAATCATTAAATTTCAAAAGCTTAAATTGAGCTGTATCAACCAATCAGGTGTCTGTATTTCATGATTTTATCTTAATCAAGCTTTTGAGCAAGTGGCTTCTTGTAGAGCTTAATATTCTGTAGAAAATGGATTGGCATTACCTTCAAACATGATCCATTTTTTGAGATTCAGATTTATAATGAAACGAAAAACTATTATTCTTGATTTAAAAATGAAACAACTTTTAAACAACAGGTTAATAATGGCAAACCTTTAAAAACAATCATATGGCACATTTAAAGGGGTACTACCTCTTAGGATGGCCAAAAAGTCCAAATTTTAATTTTGGTTAAAGCAGTCTTTGTTCATCAATGGATTTACCTGGTGTCATAAGTATATTACAGATTCCCTCTATAATTATATCCATAAACTAAGTAATAATTCATTCAAATAAGTAATTTGGAAATATGCTTAAAAGCATTATAGATATATCGTCTTATATAGAGATAAATCCAACTGATAATTATATACACGTGTTTACCAAGTTTGAGACTTTTATGTCCATTCTAAGAGATAGTATCCTTTTAAAATAAATTTGAAATAAACAAATGCATAGGAATGAATATTGCATAAAATTAACTTTTCTGGATTTTATATTTTTTGATTTAAAATTGCTCAAGACTTAATGATGGAACAATCGTAATTTTGTCATAGCTAGTGTTATATTATGGTCATTACAGGCCTGGATAATCAAGTCATCGTTAGTAGAACCAGCAGGAGAAGCGATATATTTAACACCACTCTGAAATAAACATACAAATATAGTTCATTTAGGAACATAATTTGAATTTTATAAGCAATTTTGTTCAAAAGAAATTGGAGAAAAAATCAGTATCTAAAACTAAAACTTATGCTTGTTAAAATGTTCTGTAATGCCTCATTAGTTTAGGATATTTGTGTCAGTTTTCAGAAACAAAATTGACATCCAGTTCTTGTGCAATTCAGCCAAAGTGCCACCTCAAATAGACAAACAACTATAACTCTTCAATGTTATTATAGGTCACCAAAAACATTCGATCATAAATATTTTTTTTACTCCAACACGCCTGCCATACTAGAGGTGCTCATTAAGGACAGTGAAATTTGCAGAATTGTTCACCACAAGTTTCCCAGTCAATTTATACATATTCATCCTACCTGTCTAGCTCTGTCTATGTTGTCACGGAATGGAAAGAAAGCATCAGAACTTAAAGCCACATTATCTAATTTACTAATCCATTTTTTTCTTTCCTCCTACAAACAGAAGAAGAGTGTTATATAATATAAATGACAACTATATACAGATAAAAAAACCTCCATTCAGTCCATTATGTCCATACTAAATTGTGTATATCTTACCTCTGTCAACTGAGTTGGAGGATTTTCTATTTGGTCTTCCCACATTTTTTCACTCATATCCTAAAAATATAAGATGATATCCTACAATTTAATTGGTTTCTTGACAATTTTTCAAAATATTAGATAAAAAAGCTCAGTTCTTGGTGTGTTTGTTTCATTTTTAATCGCAAATTTCAAAAGAAAGAGTAATTTTTCTCTGATTAAGAGGTAAACAACTGACAACATAAGTCTTTTCTAGGCCTTAGGCGTTTTGGTCTGCCGATTGGTTTAGATTTGCTAGTACAAATTGACGCAATTTTGAAAAATAGCAGTGGTCTACAAATACAAAATTTGATATCGGTGATTAGGTAATATGACTGCCTCTGCTGTCATCTACTTTGATTATTATTATTCTACATTACTGTTTAACTTCCACATGCCGCCATCTTTAAAAAGTCTAATCTGATCAGTCTGATCTGATAATCAGTTTAGGGAAACTTTCTCACAAATGCACCGATTAGCCTAACCTTTTTGGCTCACAAATGCACAAAATAGCTAATCTATCAAATCGAATCAGTCTACAAAAACACCAGTACTATTGTATTGGTGTACAGTCAACTGAACTTTTACTCACCTGACCAACTGTACCAAGAACATAGATATCAATAGCATTTGACATTTCAGCTCTCTTGACACCTTTCTTAAATTTCATACCCAATACTTTAGGATGCTGGCGTAACCACCTAAAAAGAAATGAAATGAATGGAGTTTTACATCCTACTTACCCTTAATAATTTGGTTCTTAAGAAAATGCTGATCTATTCCATTGGGTATGACTGATTCAAAGCATGTTTGGTCTTTGAGACATTTACACAGGGATAAGACTGTTGACTGTATCTTATTTGCCATGTTTTCTAAAGAAATGCCTTAGCAATGAACTTCAAGTTTTAAATACTAAGTATTCTAACTCAATAGTAATACTAACCAGTTATTGGCTTTATCACCAGCTAATCTGGTACAATGTATTCTAGATTGTTGTCCTGCTCCAATACCAATTACCTGATAAATAAAAGTCATTTTAATTCTTCAAACTTAAAACACAATTTCTAATACAGAGTAAATGTGTTTTGCTGTTATTTCTATCAAACATATTATACAATATCCTCACACCTGTGCCTGTTGCACAAAAACTCAATAAAACCAGTTATTTCATTGGTTGGCTCAAGTCAAAATGAATTTCAGTGATCGACCAATCAGAGGACTTGAATACTAAGTTTTATTTCATACTTTAGTCAGCCATTGACCCTAAATTCAAAAGATCCTCAGCACAAATGAAATAAAATGCCATACCTGTCCATCACGAGCAAAACAAACAGAGTTAGATTGAGTATATTTCAAGGCTATAGATGCAACTATTAGATCTCTTACAGCTTCTTCTGGTAACTGAAATTAAAAATATAGTCTTATCATTCATTACCAGATGTAGCAATATCAATTCAAGTCACATTTATACAAGTTCTTTCATTGAAAAACACATTCATAAAGCATTGACTAAACATTTGAGTGCAACGACCTGATGAGACTTTCTTACCTCCATAGCTGAAGAGGTTACGATGTACAGGACATATTAATATATGTGAATTTAGTACACTTCGTAATTCAGAATCAGGCTGATATGAAAATTCCTCATTTTGATACCGGTTACTGAATTTTACTTTTGAAACGAATGGAGTTTTACATCCTACTTTTCTGTACCATGTGGGCTAATGAAGACTGCCCATCACTAAAGACAACTGATAAAGGTGACAACTTACATCTTTTCTAGCACTGGTAATGTTCTTAAATAAATCTTTGTTAATAACAGCATCATTATGTTTCTGAGTTAATTGTAAACCAAATAATGTTCTAGTTTCTAACTCAGGGGCCTCGTATTCAGCATCCATCTAAAAATTGACAAAAAGACACCGCTTTTTGAATGAAAATTGGGTCTAAATGATAAGACACCTATCTTCATGAAACATACACAAATAGAAAATAATACATTAACAAAAATAATTTGAGGAGCTACTTACTAACTATTAATGTACCAGAAGTCAAATTCATAATATCACAAAAAAAAAACCCAACCCAAAAACATGGGTCAGTGGGTCAAATATCACTATTTGTGGCTTGTCTATAAATTATGCAATAGAGCTTGGTATAGTAATTCTTCCTAGCATCGTGCATCATACTACTCTGTGTTAAATTCAAAACTATTATCTTCTGCTGCACTACTGCCAACTGATGGGCTAAGACTTCTGACTATGACAAAGCAGTTTTGATGGATGATAGCCTAGGATCATTGGTATGATGCTATTTATAGGCAACTCAGTTATAATGTATAATTTATATCCATTTAACACTTACTTGTAGAATACAGTAATTGCCTCCTTTCTTTTTCTTCAATACTTCTAAAGCATCTTCATCATAGCCAGGGGCAATAACTCCATCAGATACCTGATAAATACATAATAGAATACTCATACATAAAGAGTATGACTACACTTACATATTGTAAATCATTTTGTCGTATTCAGGTCTTTATTGTAAATTTAACATAATCTACAACTTTCAAGGAACATATTTTAGCACAAAAATTTCAATTGCATATGGATACACATATCTTTTTGTTTTGGAATATTTTATTTTTTTCATTACAAACCTCTCTAGATATGATTTTAGCTGTAGACAGATCACAGTTATCAGACAAGGCAATAAAATCACCAAATGAAGACATTCTATCAGCTCCTAGAAAATTAACCAAACACTTTACATTAGGCTACATATTTAGAAAATGAACTTCAGCAAGCCCTGTTATCATCATATCTTATAGCTTGGTTATTGTGTCAGCAACTGAACATTTTAAGAACACTTATTTTATCAAGTTTTCAGAATCTTGTTTAGGTGCAATCTTTTAGTCCACAATACATCAAATTGTTCATTAAACTAAGTAACATCTCAAATACCTAAACCACATCGAGATATAGCCATGCAGACGTTTATCAGTGAACCAATTTATGTATCAAGGGTGACACTCGATTGGAGTGATCTGAACAGGCTCCAATTCTACCCTCAATCAAACGGTATGGAAGTGGTTATGTCGCATTCAAAATTTAAAAATCTAATCCATTCTCCGCCATTTTGAATTTTGTTTGCACCTACTATTTTTCCAGCACACATGGAAATAAACAATGTTCCAACTTTAAACGTCCAGTTGATTCCATGAATCCTGAATGTGCACAACTCACCAATCAAGCAACCCCAAGGACAACATACCTCTTGCTCTAGCATAGGCAATAGCCAAGGGAGATAACCCTTCCATGTCATCCACCATACATAATCTGGCCTGTTCAGGTGATAGTGAACTAGCTACAGCAGCACCAGCAGGACTGACATGTTTAAATGATGTAGCTGCTGGTAGATCAGTAGCTTGACGTAACTCTCGAACTAACTGCCATCCATTCAGAGCATCACATAGATTGATAAATCCTGGAGCTCCATTCAGCACTGAAAGAAATTGTTTAAGGCATTCGCAAGACTTTTAAAATGAAAATGAAAAGATTTACTTTGCCCATAAATTGGTACTAATAAAGAAGGCATTGCCATGAAGTGTGCAATGACCGATAGCTTCCCATGACAGTGGCATTAGTGCACAACCTGTAGCAGATTGGCCTGGATTTATCGTCAGATTAACCTCTGAACTGCACCACAGGGGAACTGGGTTGACCGCCTAATTCAACAAAAATGCAACTGCAACACTGGTAAGGGAAAACCAGGTCGAATGGCTAGAATTGCATGATTTGGTTATTACAAAAGATATGCATAAAAGAAACTTTGGCATTTTCAGAGAGTTAAAACTTATAGTCATACCTGATAAAGGAAGTTTAGGTAATGTAGTTGATAACTGAGCTGGTTTTTGATGAGGATTCATACCATATCTTAATGATAACTGAGATATACCCTGACTATATTCACATCTAAAATAATCTGATATAGCTCCATCATATTCTGCTGTATGATTAAATGCCTGAAATTAATTAATTAATATCAAATTTCAGTATCTACTTTGAAATTAAATGAAAGGAATTCAATGAAATTTTCTACTATTTGTATTTGTATCAGGGACAAGTATAACTTATTTGTACCATCCTGATTTCCTTTCGAGAGTCTGTGGTTCATGCAATATAATTTGAGCAGACTATGAATACAAAAAACCCAAATACTAACGATCAAAAGGAAAAATCGAAGACAGTAGTCTGGCAATACAGCAGCTAATAAACTTTCCATATTAGGAAGTATATCGATGATAAATGATGTCATGAATTACAACTAACATCTGATTTACATTTGTCAAAAGAAAAGAATAAAACTTTCATTTCTGTCAAGGTTATGTCTAGTTATATAGGTTCAAAATATAGCCCTTCAATCTTAGACTGACCTTTACTGCTAACATTTTTCTAGTATCTAAACTTGTATCCTTATTAGCCGAGTTTCTGATTTCATCTCCAACCCTGAAAATACAGATATGTGATTTCAATTGCTATGGACTTAATGTCTGAGTATTTGTTTCGCTGTAAACCAAATATTTACACGACTTGTCCCTTCAGCTTCGACCTCTAAAATGCCCTGCATACTAAGAGAACATTAGATTCTTGAGTAAGCATCAGCCCTGTTGTTAGGGTAGGGTCCGTGGAGGCTGGGCCCTAGCAAGTGAGAATTAAGACCCTGCAAAACCTCATTCAGTTCAGCAGAGATTGATTCATTTACAGTGTATTTGTACAAATCAAAAAGATATTCATTTTGATACATTTTTGCACCTGAAAATGGTCAGAAATGAGTTCTCTGAGCCTTTAATTCTTCAAATAAGTATAAAATCTGATCCCCAAATTCATTCCTGGTCATGGGGCTGGCACTAAGTTTTTATGTTTATTGAGCTTTACCTTTGATAATCAGAGACATCACAAACCACTGTAACTCTAGCATGATTCTTAGCTGCTGCTCTTAATAATGTGACACCACCTACAACGTAAGAAGGCAAAAGTAAGACAACCAGAACTCCTCATTACCCAAACATTAAAATTAAAACTTAAAGTGTGACTGTTATCATGTCAACAGAGATTACCAATACATAATTGGTGATTGATGGCAATTCAATGAACAAGTCAGTACTAAACTAGATAAATATATGTTTGGTGACCATGTCACATACATTCAACACCGCTTAGAGTAATTTTTATTACATAAATGTTAAAATAAAAATGTTATAATAAATAAATAGTTAAATAAATTCCAATGGACCCAAAGTAGGGCTTTGAATAGTTAGCATGTGCAGTGGTGAATCAGAAAGAGCTTTGAAGAGTGGGTAAGAGCTGTGCTTTAAAGAATTGGCAAGAGCAGCCTGTGCTTTAAAGAGTTGACCACAGCTTTAAAGAGTTGACAAGAACTTTGAAGAGTTGACAAGAACTTAGAAGAGTTGACAAGAGCTTTGAAGAATTCACAAGAACTTTGAGGAGTTGACAAGAGCTTTAAAGAGTTGGCAAGTTCTTTCAAGAGTCAGCAAGAGCTTGAAATGGCTGGCCCAATCTCGCATACGTTACATTATACATGTATATATCATACAAAGTATAATATACTATCTTACCAATGTCAATTTGTTCTACAGCCTTCTCTGTAACAACATCAGGATCAGATACAGTTTTAACGAATGGATACAAATTACAAACCACAACTCTACAATGCATAACATAGATGTGTGATAAAGCAACATAGACCATCTCAAACATCCATTCATTATTTACATTTAACAAATATTAACAATGATACTGTGGATATACAATACAAGGTGAGAGTTCTGTCAAATTTTAACAAATGGCTACAAGTTACCGGTACTACAACTCTACAATGGATAACATAGATTGGTGATAAAGCTGCAAATACATAGAATATCATGTTCTCTCTATCTTTAACTTTCATTCAATATTTACATTTGGATAGTTAACAATAATGCAAATCTTACTGTGGATGTACAATACAAGGAGAGAGTTCGGTAACATTTTAACTAATGGATATGACTTACAAACTACAACAAATAATATACTATATGTTATAAAACTGCAAATACAGATAATAACAATATATTTGGATATGGTAACTGGTAATTCTACAAATAAAGTCATCACATCAAAATATCACATAATAAACAAAATAATCGCATAATTTGATGCACTGTCAACTTACCTGATCATTTTATAATCTTGTTTATTCAAATCACTTTGATCAGAATCAGTTAATCTGGCTAAAATACCTAACAACACGAAATAGATAATATGAAATGGGGAAGCCTTACAAACTGTGATAATTGTAGGATATATATTACTGTATACTCTGAATATTGTCTTCAGTACGGGCATGACACTTTTTAGAAGTACACTTCGGTATTCTGGATATTTTCAATGTATGAGAGACTGCAATCAGTTTCCACTTTCTGTGACTGCTTGCATCTGTCTTGGCAAAACAGCTGGTTCTCATAAAGAATTAGACACAGTATAGTGATGTACTCTTGTGCAGAGGCACAAGCAAAACAGATTTGAACAAATTTCTCATTTCAAAGAGAACTTCTAATGAGAAAGATGACTTACCTCCATGTACTGCAGGATGTAATGTTTTAACCCTTCCTCCCAACATCTCAGGGGCTCCTGTAATATCTGACACATCACTGAAATAAATGAACAATATCAAGTTTACATTTTACTCACTGCCATCAAAGTTCTTACATGTTTTAGTTTGTAGTTTCCAAAATTTTACATCCATAAACATATTTTCATTCAACATCAAAAACTCTGTTTCATGATATAGGATAAACTGTGTCTTCGACTTACCTAACAGGAATGCCAGCATCTCTGATTGCTTTAGCAGTTCCACCTGATGCTATCAACCTCAAACCAGATTCTGATAATTTCTTGGCAAAGTCTGTTAATCCAGTTTTATCAGACACACTCAATAAGGCTAAAATAGAAATAAAAGTATCTCACTAAACAAGAGACAAGAAAAATTCAGATTTATTTCATGATTTAACAAAAGCCGACTTTGTAGATGATTTCAGTACATGTACAGTCAAGTAACCTAATTTCGTGGAAACCTATTATTCGTGGATTTCTGGAAATGTTTAATAATTTACATGAGCGACCTTGCGCGACCTTCGCATTAGTTTGTTTTGATAAACATGGGTTTTCTGTACAATATCAGCTAGTAGAATGAATCCAGTAGTTTCAAGCAAAGTAAAATGTATTAATGTATACTTTGACAAATACAAAATGGCGGATTTCACTTATAACCAAACGTCACCATTTTTTATCGGCCGAATTTCCTTATAATCCCAAGCGGTAATCGGAATTCCAAGTGTCGTCTGCTAGAATGTAGTCCAACGAATGAAGTCACGTGATTCCGTGTCAGCAGAAAATTTCTATGGAACACAAAGTGGACCATATTCTTATGTTGTTTCAGTGACTTTTAGCAATAAATTACGCTAGGTATCTTATTTTGTCAGTCACTATTTTTTTTTAAATCGTGGTTCTTTGAAGGAATTGTCACTAGTTATAATGAATTGATATTAAAGATAACTACTAAGAGAAGTTAATAATACCACCCGGTATCTATACAACATGTTTTTCTCGACTTATTTATAGATCAAACATTGTACACGAAAATAGGTGATGCATTCTGCCGCCGTTTTAATTATTTTGTAGAATATCTGAGGAAACATCTAAGACATAAAAAATTTTTTTCATTTTTTTTACTTTGACGAAATTCGGTGTTGAATCCTTATATCCACGAAAATAGGTTATACCACTGTATCTTTCAATAAAAATGGACGAAAGTTCCCAGATCTTCCCTACTCAGATTCAAATATCTAAGTTTTGTACGATATGCAATGGATAACACTCTACAAAAATCCTTTGAACTTACCTAGTTCTCCACTGGTAGACATATTGCAAAAAGATGTAGACGATTTCTATGAAGAATCACTACAGATCTTAAGTAACAATTCACAGTAAGTTTCCAAATCCACGTGTTGTTGTGGTTTTTTAAAGGTCAAGGTCGGGGCTCAAATCCATAGGGTAATGAGGGTCTGTTTGTCCATATGGGTAAAACAACAATTGGTAAATGAACAATTATTGTTGTGTAAGGTTATCATGATTCATTTTTATCTTACTTCAGTTTTATCCTTAAGCTCTTTCAAGATACACAACTTTGTTATTCTAAGTAGGCTTAAACCCTTATATAAAATGAGGGTACATATTTGATTAACCTTTGCCCTTCTATGTAAGTTTTTCACATGAAATATGTCAGTATCATTCGCTCATATGCTTGAAATATTACATAGATATTAGGGAAGCTAACCTCTATTTTCATTTTGTATCAAAGTCATGAGTCGGTATAAGATGAAGATAGCAATGTAACAAAGGCCTTTCTCAGATTCTAGACAAATCATCTTCTTAGCTATGCAGACTCTCCAGATGGAGTTCAGAGCTGACAAACAAATTCACAGAATGGTATCGGATGTTGTGAAAGGGTAAAAGCATCCCCATCTTGAACGGTGATAAATAGAAACTGAGAATTTTAGCATGATATTTATTTAGATACAATATATTAATAATGTATTACAAAAATATTGTTTTATTCCTAACCCAGAATTTGGATAAAAAACGTTCGGGATAGTTTTCTTACAATCAAAACAATTTTTGTAAATCATGCTTACAATAGTTTACAGATGCAAAGATATCTATTCACATCTGTGTTCCGTTAAAAAGATAAACAAGAACAGTCTATTTTTACTTCAGGTAGAATAAGTAGTAATAAGTGCTATATAAACCAGACTTATTTGGCATCATAACTACTTATGCTACCTCAAAATAAAGTGGATTGTTCAGGTTTATGTTTTGAATTGTAGCCAGGTATTCATAAGTTTTCTATACTGGTCTTTACCATTTAACGAATTTATATAAAAGATAACATAATTCCTTTATATTATAAAATACATAAACAAGAACATATTTTACACAAAACACTATCACTTATGTTTACATTGCCAAAAATTATGGGGCTAAATGGGCAGCTACTTTTCGACAAGATATAACTTGGTAAATATTTTCCTATAGGCCTACATTACAATGTACAAATAGAAAAAAGTATATTTTATGTCCAAAATCAACAATAACAAATACCAAACAAGATTATCCAAATAAAACAAAACATCAGACATTATATATCACAACATTTTAAACTTAAACTATGTAGCTTAACTATATAAAAGAATGATAAAGCTAACAAACAAAATTGCAGAATGGGAACAAGTTCTTCAGTCCATTTGACATGTTAATGAATGTTGATACTCTTATCCTCACCCTTGACTGCTATAGCCATTATTCTTGTATCACACAATGCAGCTACTTGATTGAGCAAATACAGCCAATCAGAGCCCTCGACAGAAAGGATGTATACATTTAGGTTTTACGTTGAGGTCTCTGATTAGTTGTATTCGCTACCACACAATCCAATCAAATTACTTCATTTACAAACGTCCATGAACATGAAAGGTGTCTATTGCAAGATTTTAGTACAGAGTTCATAATAGTTTACATTGTAAGATGTCCTTATCCAAATGTGTAATGTAAATTTACTTGGAGGAAAAATTCTTAAAATCGTTTCAAACATCAAAACTCAACAAGAAAAACATAATTCGTTTTTAGGGGCAAAGCAAAATTTTCTGTTCGCAAAATTTAAGCATTTGTCACAGAAATATACAAAACCAGATTTCATAGGGTTCCATCCAATCCTTAGACCAGATATATTTGGGTGGGAAGCATAATTCAATACAGTTTCTATCAAGGAATTTATACAAGTCCAAATGAAATAATTCTCGTTAAAATAAGGATAGTGGGTCTGTGTAGATTAGCTTCAATTATTAATAGCTAGATAAATCTTTCACCCACAGAACACAATTCTTAATTCAAGGTGGTGCTCCATTGGAGAGTTCTGAACAGGTCTGTTCCAATTCTGTCATCAATCGAATGGTACAGAGGCTGATATGTCTTATTCAAAATTTTCCCACCTATTTCATTTTGAATTCTGTCTGCACCTACCATTTTTTGCAGCATGCTTTGAACACTTTCTAAAATATAGTTTCCATGAATCCTGAACGTGCAGAAGTCAGCAATTGAGTGAACCCCTAGTTATTTCAGGGTTTTCCATAAGATTCAACAGTGGGAGTACTTGTTTGATGATAATTATGTACATACAGTCTTATTGTGAAAATTTGTCACCACTAGCAATTTAAACAATTCAAAATATAACAAGCCTCCAGTGCCACTGTAATGCTTCACAACATCATTGATTTAAAGTAGAGTTGAGCTGTCTTAATATACCAAGCACCAAATCTTGTATGTTCTAAAATAAAATTTCAATAAAAGTTAATATCCAAAGGAATTTTCTGATGTTCTAGATTACATTATGATAAGTAAGACTTATTAAAGGTATCATTCAGAATCAAAGGCCATGGTTCTCAAGGGGTTGGATTGGGTCTTGAATAAATGTAAATAGTCTTCAGAACTACATGAAAATAGCATAATCCATTCCTTTCAAGTTCGTGCTGACCAATTCAGAATCTTTAGTTGGTTCACCTGTACAAAATTGGCTGTGAATCGTTCAAATATGTCAAATTCAGTAATGGGGAAGGGGGTCCTTTCAAAATTTCATTTCATTGAATAATGCAGGAAATACAGGTGAATTAGTTTATGTTGTTTGACAACTGACCTTGGGTTTGCAGAATCGCTCCACCCATGACACCACAGACACAGTTAACTCTTCAAAATTAGAAACAGAAATATTGGCATCAAATGACATAAATAACGCATCCATAACTTGACGGAACTGAAAAAAAAAGAAGAAAAACACATTCAAATTGTTATAATTGTGAGGGCAAATCTTTCCGCAATGAGTAATTTGAAATTTTTTATGTCAAGGTGTTAGGTCGAGCATTGAAACTTAGAAAGACCTAAATTTATAGAGATTGGATACTGTATCATTTTCACGATCTCTTGGTATTAAGAACTTCGTCTAATATCTTGACACCATTATGCACTTTCTTGTATCAAGGAATTTCGTAAATGCAATGATTTGATTGGATTTTCCTACAGCCAATTCCGAGTCCTAAACAAAAAGACAGTGAACATCTCTATGAGTGTATTCAAGAGCTCTTTTTGGCTGTATTTGCTATCGTACTATCCATTTAAATGACTGTATTGACAAACTTTTGAGATTCAAGAAAAAGTGTCTAATGATGTCAAGGTATAATACAGAGATTGTAATAGCTTGACATTGTAAAGATACTATCCAGAATCTATTATCAATATTGGACATGTACTTTTCCTTTTATCCAGATAATGTCTTTTGATTAAGAATGAGACTTACAACTTGGAATTTGACTTCATCAGAAACTTGATTCTGTCCTAACTCTGGCGTATTCTGATGAGTTTTTACAATTTCTTCATATGTCCTGTTAAGAAATAAAAAGAAAATTAAATTAATTTTGCTTGATAATTTTGCACTATGATATGCTTTTATATGATATATAGTTTGTGTTGATCAAGGTCCACTAAACAGGAGTAAGTCAGTCCTCTTTTCTTCTTTTTTTCTCAAACCTAAGGATTTTTCAAATATAATTCATCAGCATAGTTTGGATTTTTTTGTAAAAATTTGCAGTAGTCATTTAGTGGAATAAATATCTGTACTAGCAAGTAAACACGGTCAATCAAAAATCTCTTCCAAAGAATGGCAAAATCAAGTTGTATATGTTGTACTCCAAAGAGAAGTACCATCAAGTCTTTCGTAAAAAGTAAGCATTTTCTGCTTGGAATATACACTTATAAGTGAATAGCAAAAATGTGATTTACAACCAAAATACAATCAAATATTTCTATGCTTACTTTTTCATAGTTTTTAATGCTAGAACTTCCTTTCTTAAAGAATCTAACTGTTCTTCTTGTTTAGTTTTCTGTTTAACTAAATATTGCATGTACTCAATAGCTAGAAAATACAACAATAAAATATCACTTTTATGACTTTCTGAATATTGCATGAAATCAATAACTATAAAATTAAAATGACACATCTATGATTTCCTGAATACTTTTATGGCATCCAGAATATTAAGGTTCAGTAATATTTTATAGAAAATCATTTTTTCCCTCTTAAATTAACTAGCACTTTTAGCTGTTAGGGAAATAAAATGAATGACTTTTGTATCATATTTGCTTGTTCTTTTATGCAATGAGAGAAATTTTCCTAGGACATCAGTATTGACCTTCATTCTTCAGTATTTTAATCTATAACTTGCAGTGTCTATTGCATACAGGGTTTTGGTTATACAGTGTCTTAGTGGAGGAGGTCAGGGGGACAAATTTTCCACCCCAGAAACATGGTTTTCACTCTGAATCGTAACCCCAAATTAACAAATTCAAATCGGTAATTTTTAAATATTTATGCCCTGTAAGCTTATATGTACCAAATCAATTCAATCTTTTTTGAAAAACTTTTCTTGAGAGAGCTCTCTCAGACGCTCCATGAGAGCCCTGCGATTAAGACGATTCCACAGAGGTGCTGCATTTTGAATTCAGCCTCGATTGTTGTCAGTCTACCCCAAATTCATACCCGATAGCACCATTTTTATTGTCCAAAAGTACTATAGCAGATATGACTTACATCTTTGTAAAACATTAGCTTTACTCATCTTCTGTGATCCCAGTCCATCTGACTGATGACACGTAGGCACAATGTTTTGTAGTTCATCATAACCTTTCTATAATACAGTGTGAAAGAAATACTTCATTAATCAAGGACAATAACTCTTCCAGGTAGAGGTGAATACAGGTAGCTACTCTAATATTGATGTTAAAAACCACCAGAAAATTCAGTAGTCCCGACACAAAACTAATATTTCACAGTAACAGCAATGTAAATGAAACCAAATTTAAATTTGATCACATGGAGCATAAAGTGTTTAATAATACATCCAGCTACAGATGGCAAAATCTCCCTACCTTAATGTTATCTCGACGTTTTTGTTCCGCTACTGTATGAGCTTCACGTCTTTTGTCTTTATAGGACATGGCAGGTTTATCACTGTCTTCATCATCTACAAGGTCAAGGTTAAATTCTAGTCTTTACATGAGAAAAATTTAAACAAGGAAGGATCCAATACATTTATAATTTTTGTGTTGCAAGGGAGATTAGGATTGAACACGCACATACTTCATCAATACCTGGTGTCACTATGCTACTGAGATTGTCAACTTGATAAGTTTCCAAAGTTTTCTCATCAACAGTGATCTAAAATCCAAGATTTAAGTAAGGTTGCATGCATAAACCAATATATAATATTGGTGACTAAAAATGAGTTCAAAGATTTTTGGATATTTAGAGGACTATCTCCCTTACTTAAGAATGCAATGCAAGTAAAACATCTGATAAGTACTGATGTTTTTGCATTGATCACATCATTGACAAAGAAATGGCCTCATGAAAGCATACCTCAAGCATACCATACAATGATTTTCTTTGGGAATGAAGCTTGTAAAGTAGTGCCTTTCAACAGGAGAGGATTCCCAGGGAGGAATTGGAAGACCAAGGGGGTGGGAATTATTGCCAGGGGCAGGGGGGAATGTGGTGGAATTGTCAGCTGAGGGAGGAAATGGAAGTCAATGTGATCTACGACTTAAATTGACGTCGTTCACCCAGGACATACGGCAAATTGAGAACAAACGTTCAGTCCAAAGGTCACATTGAATTATCTTGATATGTTGAGTATGACTTTATATCCATTCATGGTAAACCATGAATACATGAAATATTTTTAAAACTAGTATCTATTTATTTTGAGGAAGAATATATTGGGCCGCTTTCAGGGAGGAATGATCTCACTGAGGTTGAGAAGCACTGTTTTAAGGCATACTTGATTGTGTATTGGTAAATTTCTTTAGGCCATACCTGTATTATGAGCTGAAGAAGCTGAGGAAGCACAACCAGCAGGATTTGAACCAGTACTATTGGTACGAGAGAATGAAAATCGTCCAGAATTTGAAGCACTTGGACTGGTTTCTAACTTTAAATCAGACCCCTCTAGTGCTGAAAAAGTTTCAAAACTATCTGTCAACAATTATATCACATCCTTGCTAAAAATCAAATCGAAAATAAACATCTTTTAAAGGGGCATTCCCCTTTTTTTGTACACCGAAAAAATTTTTTGCTCAAATTTATGACAACTATACACCAAAATCTAGAGAAATGTGCCTTTAACATATCAGACAGACAGACAATTTGATCAAGTAGACATATTATGGTATTTTTTAGAAATATTTTCAGGTATAATTTATGACGTTTTTGATAATGACAATTTTGCATACCGGTACTGCCCCTTTAAATAAATGGCGAAGTTTTCTATAGCTCTACAGAAGTTTTTCATTGGTAACAATTTATGAAAGTCAATTTTTTTTTCTTTTAATACAGCTACAACTTTTATTTTCTTTGCAGAAAAAAAAGTTAAATACTGAAACAATTGGATGTAAACATAAAAATGAGTTGATATTGATCAATTCGTTCAATAATCTTCAGGTCATTAAACCTTGTAGGCACATCCTTATCACGATTATCCCATACACTGATCATGTGCTCAGCATCACAGACTAGGAAAAAATCACAAGAACAGACCATGTTTACTGAGATTATTAAGATATGATCATCAATATAATTGGCTGGAACTTGAGATGTTTGTATATCTTTTATCAATAAAAATTGAATATCAATATTGTCTAGTGTTCATAAGAATTGGAAAATTAGCTTCAAAATAGTACTTTTGTCAATTTGTATTTTACATTAGCATCATTAGCAAGACATTAAGGAGATATTTTCAGAATTATAATTATGATACTAAATATAGTGGATAATGTTTTTAGGGCATTTAACATTGGTTAATGTACTCATGATCAATGTACAGTCATTCACTATCACTATGAGACAATGTACATGTTCCATAGTCCGGTATTCAATTATTTAATAACTTGTTTAAGAGTTTGCCAACTTATAGCCCCATCACACTGGAAAGGCGTCCTTACTGAGATGATACAGCAACCGAAAATTAGCTCAGAGCGCTTTAAGTTCCCTGTGTAGAAGCTGTAAGATATCGTACAGTGGGTTCTATTGTCGCCATTAATCGCTGTTAAGATAACCACAGAATCAAATGTCTTTAGACAAGCGTCAAAACATCTCTATGAACGCAATAAAAGTGAAATGCACCAAGCCCATAGATGTTATTAGAAACGTGCCTTGGGAACGCAATAGGGTCACATATGTAGCAGTTTGAGTGCGTCTGCTCCAGAATTTGTTATTTTATGCAACTCTATCTTGCGTTTGTTCAAGTTTTCAAGGTTGCAGTGCAGTGTGACTGGCTATAACATAACTACTCCCCTCTAACACTATAAAAAGTGTTATCTTTAAAATGTTCGCCCTAACAATAAAATTCAGATAGATTTGGTTTGAAAAAAATGTCCCTTCCAATTCTTTTTTTAATTTAAAAATGTAGATAAATACCTTCAAAAGCATCTGTATATCCTTCAGCCATTGTTTTCTACAAAAAAAAAAAAATATTCCACAATATTTACACAAATAACTAAGCTTATAAGCTTTTACTCACAGGAGGAAAAAAAGTCATCAATTAAAGAGTGAAATTTTTACATAAGAAAATATCTTTTTTATGCATAGCTGCAGGTAGAAATAACATAGCCCTACATTTGAAATCCCAAACAGATCTTCAAACCAATATGGAATGACTGTGCCCAAATTCATCATTTTTAAAAATCAAAAACCTGTGTAATGGTACACCGATCTATTGAAAAATATGAAGTAGAACAAAGAAAATGCCTTCATATTTCAGTTTATTTCAGCCCTATCCTTCAGACTATTGGCAGATCATAAATCAATATCATTATCTAATGTTTAAACAAAACTTGGACTATCTATTGGTTTTCCTCAAGACTTTGTACTGAACATAGGTGTACAGAATAAAGAGAAAAAAATAACGAAATGAAAGATCAAATCAAATATTTATTTCATTTTAAAAGTAAAATATAATGCTTTGAAATGATAATATAAGTTTTGAGCTGAATCAATTTTTTTTTCTGACATTTATGTCATCAGTATTGAAACTTTTTGTGTTTTGGTAAAATTCAATAAGCTTAAAGCTTATACCATTCCCTTGTAGTTAATCTGTTATGATTTGGTTGGAAGAACATAAAAACATAATAATATATGGAGGTATAATTCTGTCAAAGTTATAGATTGTGTTGCAGCTTTAAAATACCAATGTTATCATTACAAAATGCATTTGTCAACGATGCAAAGCACAATTGTTGATATTTATAACTGATTTCCGAAATAATTTTCTTCTGTCATTTCATAAATATTGAAAATCAAAAGATTCAAAGTGTCTTTTATTGGTCTTTGGATGTCTAATAATGCAAATGTCTGTAGAAACATAAGGTTTGATAATTCTACCTATGAAATACCCTCTAAAGTAAAATCAAAATTTTTTATAAACGTTAAGAATTCTAATCAACTCAAACACAGTTAAGTTAGACTGTCAGCTTTATTTTGGAGTTGACATTAGGTCACCCCAGTGACTGGTTTACAAGCTCATTGATTAAGCTTACGCAATATATACCTGAGCAGCTGGAAAAGCGGCCGTTACTAAGTGACTTTACATAACGTTAACTTCACATGCTTCAAGTTATATTTCATTTACACTCACTACTGAGCCACTTCAGTGTTCAAAGCTTGATAAAGCCTATTCTGAAAACAATATTAGGCCTATGCACTTGTGTTTCAAGTAATAAATTTCTATTTACAAGACATTGTCAGAATTAATCCATCAATATTGCGAATACCAAAAAGCCTAGAAAGGTACATGTAGTTCACTAATTTCTTCACTTATGATTTTGTACACTGACCCAAATACAGAAAAAAAAAATTTCCTTCCACTACAAAAGTAGAAATCTGGCAATCATTCTCCTTCGAAACAGACATTTGCTTGTGACATCTTCACAAGTATGATCAAATATCGATTCCTCATACTGTATATTTTGGAAATAGTTATTTTTTACAGACACTTACTGTTTTATGTCAAACGTAATCAAAACTCATTGTTGTGATAGTAAAAGGCAGCCATTAAATGTTTACATTTTACTGTCGCCACCTAGCGGTTTTTTCCAGCAAACCTATTAAAGGGGAATAACTCCAGAAAAACTTTAAAGCTGTAGGCCCACGGTTAAAAGGGTCAGAGAAGGGGGCAAAGAAGGCAAAAAGAGCGAATAGAAATTTTGGTGCGATTCCAGTTTTTTCATGGTAACATTTCAAATTAAAACAAAAGCTACATATTACAGACCTACATCACTGTCAATCAAAGACAATATTATCATTTATTATTAGGCCCATATAGCCTATCCAGAAAAACTAGGTCTGGCTTAGCCTATTCCTTTATAGCTGCAGTTTTGTGTTGTCTTGCGGAGACGCTCATATCCAAGACTAAACGAGATATGGAATTGCAGTAGGCCTTGCCTATGCGGTGTTCGAAATTTCAAACTAGTTTCTGTGTACAATTTACCAGCCCATCGCAAAGGCTCTAGCCTGAATTTAGCTTCAAAGTTTGATCTTCTTTCAAAATGAAAATCGGCAAAATAAGCTTATCTTACCACAGGTAGCAGCTACCTGTGGATCATATTTGATTTGTTTGTGTCGAAATGTTTGTCTCAAAGAGCGATGAAGCGATGAACACTTTAAACTGTAGAGTTTGGCATTTCCTCTAACACACAGTGTGGTATCTTGTCATTATATCTAAAAAAAATTTAAGAATTTAAGATTTTATATCATATGGTATCCACTGCACTAAATATTTTCAGTGAGTTACTGGCTTATACCATCATACCATCGCATCATTGCATCTCCACCTGGGATAGTCTAGGATCTTCATCCATCAAGATATTCCTGCCCTATCCCCATGTTCACAGATATTTCCTACTCGTTCTACTGTTATGCCATGTATTGCTACAACAAGAAAAGTTCTTGTCTTCTCAAATCTGAAAATTAGTCAAGGGCAATAATTCATAATTTAGCTAATGGGATTTTTTCCATTTCGAACTGGTCCAATACAGAATGGCATTTGCATTTACATAAATCGTTTATACGAATATGATTTTGGCTAGGGTCTAGTAGTGGGGCATAATGGTAGTCTCAACATTGAAAAATACTATCTTTGTCCAGAGTGTCTAGATGGCACCGTTTGCGGCGTGTGGTTTTGATTATGACGTAACAATAATTTACCGTAAACGTCATTTCTAAGTATTTCGGAGAAGTATTTAGACGTGTAGCGTTAGTCTTAGCCTTCAACATTTACAAGTTTTTCATCTTTAACCAATCGAAAGTGTCACAGAACCGTTAACCAGGTAAGTAAACTGGTTTTTGTTGTATTATTAAGGCAATCATTCTTATCAACGTTTAGTTGGTAACTTACGTCTTGTATACCTGTAGTATTTTCTGACTTGCACTCTTAAATTAAAACTGTCTTTTGTTATTTCAAACAGTCAAAACTCTTCAGAAACAAACGAAAACAACCGCAAACTGGTGCCAGCCGGAAATAATAGGTTTTTTCAGACATGATAACTTTAATGGTTAAGATTAAGATAAGCAGCATAATTAAATTTATTCCATACGCATCAGTTGAACGGGCTGTTAAAACATTAAAAGCTTTCTTTAGACATGATAATAATGATATATTTAATGGTTAAGATCAAGATTAGCAAATCTGAATAAATCTATTCAATACGCAAAAGTTGAATAAGCTTTCTGGGAAGATTGGCTATTAAAAGGAATTTGCAGTCTTTTTGTAGGTTTTTCAATAAAAAAATTGGATGGGGGTGGGGAAAGCATAATATTAATGAGAACAATCGCAACAATTATTAACGTCTTTGGATAATGGCGTCATAATAGCGCATAGTTAGACATTTCATTGAAATATCTAAATCAAGACGTGTTTGCTCAATTCTCTGCAATTTACAAAAGTTTTTCTAAATTGCATTGTGCAAACGAGTTTATTTGGATTGAAAATTGGTAAGTGGAGAGAGTTTGGTTTGTTTGGTGTTGGTGTTCACCTTAATGTTCACTACTACAAATTACATAACAAAAAATGTTTAGTTGGATTTCATTTTCACTTGGAATTTGCTTTTTGTGTTGGTTGTTATATCTTCAAAGTATTAACAAATACAGAAATCACAATAAAATGTGTTGGTTTTAAAATGTACAGGGTTAAGAAAAGAACAAAACAAAACAAAACTGTCTGGAGTTACTTTTCGGATAAAATAAAGTGTATTTTTTACATTAAATTTTTTAGACCATCGCAAGTATTTTTCTGTTTGCTTTATTTTAGATTCGCTAAAAAATATGGAACGACTTCAAGAATATTTATTGAAGAGGGGGTGGGTTGGAGCTGCGGACATTCCACAATTAACCCATTGTGACATGGCTGCTGCTTCAACAAGCAATATAGACAAATGGCTTGTTGATTTCGAGAGCAGGAAATTTAATCCAGTCAGTGGATTTAAGGAAAATAAAGATGCCAATGCGAAATACATTGAAAAAAAAGGCGATGATGCCCAAAGAGAAACGTGTTCCTCAACTAGATAAGGGTAAATATTTCAAAGTAGACCAAGGACTGTTATTGGTCTGTCTTATTCGTTGAGCGAAAGTTGATGACTTTCGGTAAGTCATCTTTCCCAAATGCTTCAGTCAAGAACTTCGTACTTATACCTTGACGGCAATAGTCACCTTTCTTGTATCATGGAAGTTTGTAAACGAAGCTATTTGATTGGATTGTCCGCTAGCTAATACAGCCAATCAGATGCCTCGATAGAAAGTCTGTGAACTCGAAACTGTGATGAAACCAAACCAAATCTGTCTTTCCATTCAAGCCAACGAAATATCCATTTAAAACCAATGAATGCAATTAAAAATGCAGATGTACATCAACCAAATTTCGAATTTTTTAATTTTGGGCAGTAACGTGGGGTGGGAAATGAAATGTCCAATCAAGGCGAATTCTTCAGCAAACCATTATTACTTATGACGTCATAATAACGTTACATGACAATGCTTACATTATTCGAGTTTTGTTGGAATAATAAGACGTTTAACTTCATATTACTAACATTTTACTAAATTTTCACTCTTGAAACGTTTAGGCGCCTATAATATTCGGTAAGTACTTTAATTTTGAGATAAGCGGAATCAAAGTTACGCGGATCAACCAAGAACTCGAAGCATTCAATTGATAATCTTATTTCATAGTTAATGATTTGCTATGTTCTTTCAGTAATGGTTGATGCAACAAATGTTCGTGGAAGTTTGTTGAAACATGGATGGTTTGTTGTTCCTGTAGAAAAGCGTGACACAAGTGAGGCAAACTTACTTCCATTCAACCAGAGGAAAGGGGAAAATAAATCAGGCATTGGAATGAATGGTAACTACAAAGACGATTTACTGAACACGAAGGCTTCAAAGAAAGAACCCATGAAATCTGGTAAATGCCGGGGTAGGTTTTGAACACAATTCTATCCATCTGAACCCAATTTAAGCTTACAATTGCGGGTTAGCTCATTAGATGAAAATAGGGTAAGCAATAGCTTATCAGTTAAGCAATAGTTTCAAAGCCGAAGTTTATAAACATCGTAATCATTCTTTCAGAAAAGACATCCAAAATACCCAGCCGACATGAAGCAGACATCAACTTCCTTCTTCAACAGGGCTGGTCAGTGGCTAAGAAAAGCCGGCACCAGATTACGGTGGTCAAAGTTCCTGAATCCATTACAAAATCGCTTTGCAAATCCGCATCATTAAAAATGGAAGAGCAAGTGGAAGCTCCTACATCTGGTAAGTTAGTTTATTGTGTCAAATTCCAGCCAGGGATGGTTCAACCTATTTCTTCTACTGGAATATTTGTCGCATCGTAATTTATTTCAAACTTGTTTCCTGCATTTTGGTGTAATTTTGGATGATTCATAATATTTTTAAATGCTTATTTTTGATAAATTCCTTAATTTCTTTTTAGGCGTTTTTCATAAGAAGACTTTGTTCCGAAGGTTATTTCGAAGATCTCGAAAATTGATGGGAAGCATCTTTAAGTGTGGAAGAAAGGAATAATAAATGGAACGAAATATATACATGGAAGCACACTAGAAATAACTGCTATATCAAATTACATACAAATTATATTTTATTTATTAAAGTCGTACATTTCTGGAAACAGGACTCTTATCTACTTTTCACTATAGGTGAAAAACTAGAGGCAAAAAACTGAGCATTTTTTTTCAAAAAAATAAAAACTTTCAGCTATTGTAACTTTGGAACCTAAATTATGGTACCGTGTAGAACCAGATCCTGGCTATCCACCCTGCAAAGCCCAGCTTCGTCGCAGCTACGGTCTGCCTAAAGAAGCGGTTTTAGTAAGAGCTAATTTAACCCCAAAAATTGGCCAAAATCGGCCATTTTTTAGTCATTTTGACCAGGAATATTTTCAAATTTCGACCACACATTTTTTTTTTTTTGGCTGAAATGGATTTGGGGGGGTCCAGGGGAGGATCGAAATTTGTTTCAAACTTGTTTCCGGCTTTTTGGTGAAAAACTAGAGGCGAAAAAGAAAAAACTGAACAATTTTTATCAAAAATGGGCAAACTTTCAGCTCCTGTAACTTTGGAACCAGTTGAGATAGGGCATCCGAAATTATGGTGCCGTGTAGAACCAGATCCTGGATATCCACCCTGCAAAGCACAGCTTCGTCGGAACTTCGGTCTGCTTACTATAAAAAGTATTGAAACGCAAAAAAATCGAACAAAATCGGCCATATTTTAGTCATTTTGAAGAGGAAAAATTTCAGAATTGGACCAAAATAATTATTTATGACTAAAATCGACCCGTGGGGACCCTGGGAGATCGAAAAAGATAGAGCATCCTGGTTTTTTGTGCCGTATAGAACCAGACATTGGCTACCCACCCACCAAAGCGCAACCCTGTAGCAGTAACGGTTCGCCTTCAGGGGCAGCTACACAAAGTCGTATTGAAACGCAAAAAACCGGCCAAAATCGGCAATTTTTTAGTCATTTTGATCAGGAAAAATTTCAAAGTTGAAACAAAAAAATAATTACTTTTTTTGACTAAAATCGATCCGGGGGGACCCGGGGAGATCGGAAATTCGATTCAAAGTTGTTTCCTGCATTTTGGCGAAAAACTAGAGTCGAAAAACTGTGCAAATTGGGTTAAATGTGGGGGAAAAAAAGGCAAATTTTGACTGGCTGTAACTTCGGAACTAATTCAAATAAAGTATCCTGGTTTTTTGTGCCGTATAGAACCAGACATTGGCTACTCACCCACCAAAGCGCAACCCCGTAGCAGTTACGGTTCGCCTTCAGGGGCAGCTACAAAAAGTCGTATTGAAACGCAAAAAAACCGACCAAAATCGGCCATTTTTTAGTCATTTTGATCAGGAAAGATTTCTAAGTTGGACCAAAAAACAATTTTCTTTTTTTTGACTAAAATCGATCCGGAGGCGACCCGGGTAGATCGGAAATTCGATTCAAAGTTGTTTCCTGCATTTTGGCGAAAAACTAGTGTCGAAAAACTGTGCAAATTGGGTTAAATGTGGGGAAAAAATGGCAAACTTTGAGCGGCTGTAACTTCGGAACTAATTCTGATAAAGCATCCTGGTTTTTTGTGCCGTATAGAACCAGACATTGGCTACCCACCGATCAAAGCGCAACCCTGTAGAAGTTACGGTTCACTTTCAAGGGCAGCTACAAAAAGTCGTATTGAAATGCAAAAAACCGGCCAAAATCGGCCATTTTTTAGTCATTTTGATCAGGAAAAATTTTAAAGTTGGACCAAAAAAAAATTTTCTTTTTTTTTTTGACTAAAATCAATCCGGGGGGACCCGGGGAGATCGGAAATTCGATTCAAAGTTGTTTCCTGCATTTTGGCAAAAAACTAGAGTCGAAAAACTGTGCAAATTGGGTTAAATGTGGGGGAAAAAAAGGCAAACTTTGAGCGGCTGTAACTTCGGAACTATTTCAGATAAAGCATCCTGGTTTTTTGTGCCGTATAGAACCAGACATTGGCTACCCACCCACCAAAGCGCAACCCTGTAGCAATTACGGTTCACTTTCAAGGGCAGCTACAAAAAGTCGTATTGAAATGCAAAAAACCGGCCAAAATCGGCCATTTTGATCAGGAAAAATTTTAAAGTTGGACCAAAAAAAAATTTTCTTTTTTTTGACTAAAATCGATCCGGGGGGACCCGAGGAGATCGGAAATTCGATTCAAAGTTGTTTCCTGCATTTTGGCGAAAAACTAGAGTCGAAAAACTGTGCAAATTGGGTTAAATCTGGGGAAAAAAAAGGCAAAATTTGAGCGGCTGTAACTTCAGAACTAATTAAGATAAAGCATCCTGGTTTTTTGTGCCGTATAGAACCAGACAATGGCTACTCACCCACCAAAGCGAAACCCTGTAGCAGTTACGGTTCGCCTTCAGGGGCAGCTACAAATAGTCGTATTGAAACGCAAAAAAAACGGCCAAAATCGGCCATTTTTTAGTCATTTTGATCAGGAAAAACTTCAAAGTTGGACCAAAAAAAAATTTTCTTTTTTTGACTAAAATCGATCCGGGGGGACACGGGAAGATCGGAAATTCGATTCAAAGTTGTTTCCTGCATTTTGGCGAAAAACTAGAGTCGAAAAACTGTGCAAATTGGGTTAAATGTGGGGGAAAAAAGGCAAACTTTGAGCGGCTGTAACTTCGGAACTAATTCAGATAAAGCATCCTGGTTTTTTGTGCCGTATAGAAGCAGACATTGGCTACCCACCCACCAAAGCGCAACCCTGTAGCAGTTACGGTTCACTTTCAGGGACAGCTACAAAAAGTCGTATTGAAACGCAAAAAACCGGCCAAAATCGGCCATTTTTTAGTCATTTTGACCAGGAAAAATTTCTAAGTTGGACCACAAAAAAATTTTCTTTTTTTTGACTAAAATCGATCCGGGGGGACCCGAGGAGATCAGAAATTCGATTCAAAGTTGTTTCCTGCATTTTGTCGAAAAACTAGAGTCGAAAAACTGGTCAAATTGGGTTAAATGTGGGGGAAAAAAGGCAAACTTTTAGCGGCTGTAACTTCGGAACTAATTCAGATAAAGCATCCTGGTTTTTTGTGCCGTATAGAACCAGACATTGGCTACCAACCAACCTAAGCGCAACCCTGTAGTAGTTACGGTTCGCCTTCAGGGGCAGCTACAAAAAGTCGCATTGAAACGCAAAAAAACGGCCAAAATCGGCCATTTTTTAGTCATTTTGATCAGGAAAAATTTCTAAGTTGGACCAAAAAAATATTTTCTATTTTTTGACTAAAATCGATCCGGGGGGACCAGGGGAGATCGGAAATTCGATTCAAAATTGTTTCCTGCATTTTGGCGAAAAACTAGAGTCGAAAAACTGTGCAAATTAGGTTAAATGTGGGGGAAAAAAAGGCAAACTTTGAGCGGCTGTAACTTCGGAACTAATTCAGATAAAGCATCCTGGTTTTTTGTGCCGTATAGAACAAGACATTGGCTACCGACCCACCAAAGTGCAACCCTGTAGCAGTTACGTTTCACCTTCTGGGGCAGCTACAAAAAGTCGTATTGAAACGCAAAAAACCGGCCAAAATCGGCCATTTTTTAGTCATTTTGACAAGGACAAATTTCTAAGTTGGACCAAATAAAAATTTTCTTTTTTTTGACTAAAATCGATCCGGGGGGACCAGGGGAGATCGGAAATTCGATTCAAAGTTGTTTCCTGCATTTTGGCGAAAAACTAGAGTCGAAAAACTGTGTAAATTGGGTTAAATGTGGGGAAGAAAAAGGCAAACTTTGAGCGGCTGTAACTTCGGAACTAATTCAGATAAAGCATCCTGGTTTTTTGTGCCGTATAGAACCAGACATTGGCTACCCACCGACCAAAGCGCAACCCTGTAGCAGTTAAGGTTCGCCTTCAGGGTCAGCTACAAAAAGTCGCATTGAAACGCAAAAAAACGGCCAAAATCGGCCATTTTTTAGTCATTTTGATCAGGAAAAATTTCTAAGTTGGACCAAAAAAATATTTTCTATTTTTTGACTAAAATCGATCCGGGGGGACCAGGGGAGATCGGAAATTCGATTCAAAGTTGTTTCCTGCATTTTGGCGAAAAACTAGAGTCGAAAAACTGTGCAAATTGGGTTAAATGTGGGGGAAAAAAAGGCAAACTTTGAGCGGCTGTAACTTCGGAACTAATTCAGATAAAGCATCCTGGTTTTTTGTGCCGTATAGAACCAGACATTGGTTACCCACCCACCAAAGCGCAACCCTGTAGCAGTTACGGTTCGCCTTCAGGGGCAGCTACAAAAAGTCGTATTGAAACGCAAAAAAACGGCCAAAATCGGCCATTTTTTAGTCATTTTGATCAGGAAAAATTTCTAAGTTGGACCAAAAAAAAATTTTCTATTTTTTGACTTAAATCGATCCGGGGGAACCCTGGAAGATCGGAAATTCGATTCAAAGTTGTTTCCTGCATTTTGGCGAAAAACTAGAGTCGAAAAACTGTGCAAATTGGGTTAAATGTGGGGAAAAAAAGGCAAACTTTGAGCGGCTGTAACTTCGGAACTAATTCAGATAAAGCATCCTGGTTTTTTGTGCCGTATAGAACCAGACATTGGCTACATACTCACCAAAGCGCAAACCTGTAGCAATTACGGTTCGCCTTCAGGGTCAGCTACAAAAAGTCGTATTGAAACGCAAAAAACCGGCCAAAATCGGCCATTTTTTAGTCATTTTGATCAGGAAAAATTTCTAAGTTGGACCAAAAAAAAATTTTCTTTTCTTTGACTAAAATCGACCCGGGGGGACCAGAGGAGATCGGAAATTCGATTCAAAGTTGTTTCCTGCATTTTGGCGAAAAACTAGAGTCGAAAAACTGTGCAAATTGGGTTAAATGTGGGGAAAAAAAGGGCAAACTTTGA